GGGGTGCTATTTATAGGCATGGGTTGGGTTTTGGAAGACTACTCCTAAGGTCAGTTTAAAGGTGATGATCTTTCATTTTCTTGGTTTCTGGCGTTTTCAGACAGCATTCGTTGTATATATGCAGGGGAGGCTTCTTTAGGGACGTTGCAGGTGAGATTTCATGCCTTGGAGAGATGGAGCTTTCGTTGACTTATCAAAAAATGGAGGGAATATGAAAAACAAATAGAATGAGAGAGGAGAAATGATATTTTAGTTCACATTTGTAGTGAGTGGGCTGGTGAGCTTAATTTTGAGCAATGAGCTTTAGATGGTGGAATTGGGTAATGGACTTCAGATAATAGGAAAGAAGAAAGAGGAAAATAGGCTAAGATTTGAGATGAATTAAAATTAATAGGTTAATAGTTTACATAAGTTAATAAATAGGTCAAATTACTGTTTTCATCTATAACTTGTCTGGTTATGAACCATAACTTGACAAGTTATTGTCCATAATTCACGGTTTTTGTCCATAACTTATCTAGCTATGAACCATAACTTGACAAGTTTGTCCATAACTTATCTAGTTATGAACCATAACTTGACAAGTTATGGCCTATTAATTTCTATAACTAAAAGTTGGCCTATATACTTTTTTAAGCTTTTCATATTGGTCTATTTTCTACTATTTCTCTAATAAAAATTGTGTATTTTGGATTTCAGGTAATGAAAATTGGGTATTTTGGATTTTAAGTAATGAAAATTGGGTATTTGGTCAATTTTCTCCACGGCCCAAATTATTTTAATTCTTCATAGGTTCGAAACCTCTTAAGTGAGTCATGAGTCTAATCAGATTGAGGAGTATGAACCTAATTAAGTTTTTTGGCATTTCAAATGCCGACTTGAAGATCTCCAAAGCGTGGCTTGAGTCCACATACCATATCTTGGACCATATCGCAAGATATGGACTGGGTTTGTGTCTTGCCAAAAAAGGGGTATCAACAACATAAATGCACGTGCAGTTTTTTTCCTAGTGTTTCATAAAATTCATGTTAATTTCCACATGGATATGGAAATCTAAGCATGCATTGGTATTTTTACCTAACGTAGGCGTTTTCAATTTCTCATTTTCATCATACGAAGCCGCCATCTTTAATTTATAAGTCAAAAGTCCAAGTTGGTAAGTTGACTTGTCCATTTGCTTCGCAAAGAAAAAAAAAAGGCCTGGAAATCAATAATGGACATCTCTGCTATGTCTCTCGTTTTGACATTTTTTCAGCACCAAAACACGAAAAGATATGGATTTTCTGTTTTACATAATTAGAGTGGAAAGAGTGAATCATTATGTTGAAATAAGGGGGGTGGAATTGGAAAACTGTTTGTTTGGAAGCAAAGAAACAGAAAATGGGTTTAAAAGTATAAATTGCCGCCCGTTCGTTTAGGTAGTTTTTGAGTAAAAAACTCAAAAAAAGATAACTCGAGTTACAACTTTATTCGAGTTCATGTTCTTTTAAGTTTGAACTCGAGTTTGAACTCAAGTTTGAATTCGAGTTTAGAACTAAAACTCGAGTTCAAGTTTCCTCTTCAACTCGAGTTCAGAAACTCGAACTCAAGTTAATGAACAGTATTTTTTCTATTCTTAAAAATGCTATAATTTTTTCGTTTTAATTCTGATTGAGATGATTTTTTTCTATGCGTTGACAACGAAAAGACGAATAAAACTAGACCCATCAACCCTATTAAAATTTTTCATCAGCATTGAGTTTTTATTAAAATACTATCTAAAAACAAATTCAAGTTTTGACTTACTCAAACACAAACTCAAAAAAGATTCTTATCTCAAACCATAACTCAAATGTACACAACTAAACACAAATTCAAGTTACAACTTCAACTCAAGTTATAACTCAAACTCAACTCAAAATCTACACTCAAATTACCTAACTCAAAAATATCAAAAGAATAAGCCCTTAGTTGCCCCACTATTAATAGTTTGCTAACGAGAATTCTTAACAAATTATATCTTCAAGATACAACAAACCCCAATAATTAGCAACATTATTAAATTTTATAACAAAAGATGGAAACTGATCTCATATTGCAGCATTTATTTATAATTAAAATCGTATTTGTTCATGAATGTGTGTAACAATAACAACAAATACAATTTTTTTTTTTTATTAAATGGTGACTTCTTATGAACAAACATAACCTTTATAAAAAAAATGCAATATTTGATTAAAAGGTGTTAAACATAGTATTACTTTCTTGGTGATTAATCATAGACGCTCAAATTAAACTCGTTAAGTCCTTAAAAATGAAACATATCCACCTCAATTCTAAAATAAATATTAAAATAAATAAAAAACCATATCACCTCATGAAGAGATCTCTTCGGAGATAGAGACAAACAAAGGATAACCCTTTTATCTAATGCATCAAAAGGTGAAGAAGTGATGACGTGTACTTGTAATCTTTATCGACATATCCATCTCAATTGTAGGGAATAATAAGGGAGAAATAGGGAAATAAGTTAAGATTTGAGATGAATTAAAATTAATAGATTAATAGTTTATATAAGTTAATAAATAGGTTAAATTATTATTTTCGTCCATAATTTGTCTGGTCATGAATCATAACTTTACAAGTTATTATCCATAAATCACGATTTTTGTCTATAACTTGTCTAGTTATGAATCATAACTTGACAAATTTATTCATAATTTATTTGATTATGAACCATAACTTAACAAATTATGACATATTAATTTCTATAATTAAAAATTGACATATATACTTCCTTAAACTTTTCATATTGACATATTTTCTATTATTTCCAGAATAATAATCCCAAGTCTCAACTTGTCCAACTTAGCCCCCAAAAAAAAAAAAAAAAAAAAAAAGTTCTTATCCAAAGTGAGTTGATCATGACCGAATATTTGGAGTTACAAATTGGCCAATTGGATCATTACCGAGTGCCCATTTCAGCGTACCGAACTAGTTGGTTGACTAATATTTGGGCAGCCAAATCCAGACAACCAAAAGAGACCGACATCCATCCACGTCATTCAGTTCTGTTAAAGTGAAATGACTGAACTCCAATAGAAGATGATTTAAAAGTCTTTGGTCAGAGATCAAACTTGTAATGCCTTAACTTTTAAACCATCGCATTTGCATACTTTCTTTCCCTTTATTTTTGGGAAAACTCTAGCTTAGAGTATTGAGAAAAAAAAAAAAAAGGAAGACCTTATAAGTAAAACTATGAAAGTAAAGACTGTTTTAAATTGTGTATCAGATTTTATAATTTTTGTAAGCTTTTTTTTTTTTACATGGTTACGCTTATTTAATCGATTTGAGTTTAAAATTTAAGTCTTATTACAATAAAAAATTTTCAAAAACAGTCACATTTAATTTTTTTACTATAGTAAAAAATTTTCATATAAAGTCATATCTCAACTTGAATTAGCGAACTAAACGGGATATAACTTGTAAACAATGGCGTAGACTAATTTAGTTTCTTGAATCTTTTGAATTATACTCACCCTGCTTAATTCATTTAATCGTTGGTTAAATATGCTTTAGTCGATTAAATAAACTTATCGTAATATTGTATCATGATAACGGTGTGAATTGACACAAAAATATGTATTCTTTATTCATGTATTATATATTATGTAATAAATAATATCTTAAAGAATTCACTAGATTCATTTGAAATTTGCACGCAACCTAACACCATTCCGACTCCCACCAAAAACAAAACAATAAATTATGAGAAGACTCGGCATTTTATAAACAAATAATTGAAGGGGAAAAAAACACGTAAAGCTTGAATAAAAAAATGTGAAACACAATATTGAGACCTTTTTGAGTTAAAAAAAAAAAATATTATAAAATAATTAAAAAAAAGTGAAGTTAAGAGGATATTTCCGTGCCCAAAAAAAAAAAAAAAAAACTTTTCCACAGTTAATGCACAATCAACTCGCCCCATTTGACCTTTTCTTTGCCACTGCTTTGGCTCCAAAATCCCAAACTCACAGTCACAACTAATATAAATTCTACTCAAAACTCCTTTCTCTTTGTCACATTTCACAAATATATACAAAAAAAAAAAAAAAAAAGAAACCTCACCAAAACCTCAACAAAATTATACTAGAACACCAATACCACACCGTCATGGCTACTTCTGACAACATGGCGGTGGGCGGCGGCAGCGGCGGTGGCACAACAATCTCCGCCATCCATCCCGACATCATCCAGGCCCACATCCTCGCCCGTCTCGATGGCCCCACTCTCGCGGCCGCCGGATGCGCCTCATCGGAGCTCCACGCGCTGTCCGCCGACGAGAATCTGTGGCGTGACATCTGCGCCACCATGTGGCCGTCCGTAGCCAATCCCGCCCTCCGCCGCCTCATCTCCACCTTCCCCGCTGGCCACCGCTCCTTCTTCTCCGACTCCTTCCCCGTCCTCGACCGCGTCCCGCCCCAAACATTCAATCCGGACCCTCCATTCCTTTCCTCCGGACTAATCTCCGCCGTTGACATATTTTACAAGGACAAGCTCATCTTCTCCAAGGTCAAGGAAACGGAAACCCTAACCGAGTGGTTCCACTGCTCGCCATTCCTCGTGGACCTCCTCGACCCGAAGGACTCCGTCCAAACTCCGATCCAACGCGCCGCCGTCGACGACGGCGCGTGGCTGAAACACCTGGAGGAGAATTTAAAACTCAGCTGGATCCTGATCGACCCGACCCGGAAGAGGGCGGCAAACCTGTCGGGTCGGGGGGCGGTGTCTGTCGTACGCCACTGGCTGACCGGGGAAATTCAGCTCCGGTACGCGACGATCATGGACGGACCGGCGTCAACGCCAGCGACGGAGCACGTGCAATGCGGGATGATGGTCACGTGCGGTGGGGAGGAAGGAGATGAGGTGCGCGTGAGGGAGGTGGGGTTGCACGTGGAGGACACGGAAGGGAGGCACCTGAGCGGGCAGGAGAGTTTAGTGGTTTTCAGGAACGCCATTGAAGGAGGGAAGAGGAAGAAGGAAAATGGAGTTGGAGAAGGGAAAGAGAGATTTGAAGAGTTCTTGGTGAAAAGAAGAGAGATGAGAGAGAAGAAGCAGAGGAGAGAGAGAGCTCTTGATTTGGCCTGCATTCTCACTGGGGTTTCCATTTTTGTGGCTTTTTGGTCATTTGTTCTCTTCAGATGACGATCGTGAGGAGTTCGTTATGACCGTTAGTTAAATGGTATAGGCACAGAAATTACATTTCTTTTTTTTATTTAAAAAAAGCTCTTATTTTTTTTCTCAATTAATTTCATTGATTTATTTTTCTTTCTAAACCGAAAAATTATACATATGAAGAAGAAGAAGAAGAGGGTGATGAAGACGAGGAAAATGATAGATGATATGGTTAACTTTGTAAATATCATTATCCGAGTAAAGCTTAAGTCATATTTTTCTTTTTAGAGCATTTTTCTTTATGTAACCCAGTAATTAATCTTACACTTTTTATTTTAGTTCATAGATTTAGAACTATGATTCAAAATCATTTTTATTTTACGTGTATTTCAAATTCTCCTTCTAAACGTCCCATTAGTGTTTGTACCTGTTGGGCTTTGGAATAATAGCACAATAATTAACAATTGGACAATAGACAATTTCTTAGTTCTACCCAAAAAAAAAAAAAAGTAGAATTTCTTATTAATTTTGTTAGTATGAAAAAACAATTAGATTAAGGTTACAAAAATTTGATTAAACACGGACACAAGGTTAAGAAAAGAAAAAAAATATATATATATTAGAATTCTACGATATTGGTATGAAAAAATATCAGTAGGGTTCTATTTTAAATTGTCAATATATTTTATATATATATTAGAATTCTACGATATGGTATGAAAAAATATCAGTAGGGTTCTATTTTAAATTGTCAATATATTTCAGGTTTTATCACTTTTGAGAACCATTTGAAATTGATTCTAACCAAAAATAATATTCGGAAACATACATCAATTACCGTGAAAAGCTCCAAAGAAATAATCCAAAGTCCTAATTTCATTTCCATTTCACCATTCCTAATTTTCTACCAGAAATAAACAGTCAATACTGGGCCCTAAACCCAAGAAACTTTGGGCTGAGCCTTAACTTGCTGACATCCTATATGGGCCATCAAAGGCCCAAAAATAGTCAAGACTTGGCCCTAAACCCAAGAACACATGAAAAATCAGCGTGATCCGCTGCTCGTGGTTGTAGGAATGAGATATCGAAAGAGGACCCCACTTTATCCAGAAAATTTCCACGTGGCAGTATTTGATTGTAGGAAAGAATCATCTAATGGAATTGCAATCTATCTTTACCGCGAAAATCTCCATCACATAATGTGAGTCGTGACAAAAACTCTCACAACTCCTTAGAACAAGATCACTCACCACCACAAACTACATTTCTGAGTTTTTGAGACAATTTGCAGAGAGAAAGAGAGAGGCAACGGAAATGGCAACGACTATCGCAACCGCATCAACCGTCGCGGGGCTCGGCAGCTCCTCCCTTTGCTCCACCAAGAGAACAAGCCTCTCTTCAGGTGCTCACTCGATCAAATATTGCTATTTTCCTATAAACCCAAATTGTTGGTTTTTTAAACCCGTTTAATTCGCTGATTTGAGTTTTTAATTTGAGTTGATATGTGATTTTATGTGATTATTTTTTATTGTAGTAAAAAAGTTAGATGTGACTGTTTTTTAGAGTTTTTTACTGTAACAAAACTCGAATTTTAAACTCGAATCGGTGAAATAAACGGAGCGAATATAAACATGGTAACACTACTCAAAAATAAATAAATGGATATATAAACAAGGTAACAATTAATGTGCTAAGCATCCTACGACGGTGTAATAAATTTAAATGGTCACATAATGTCGCAATTTCTTCTTACTCTATTTATACTGTTAACATGCAAGCAAGTGGTGTTGTTTGGCAGATTTTGGTTATTAAGTGATGTGTAGTACTAAATCACATTCATAGAATATTTGACCTAATCGATCTATAACTATAATAGAAATTAGAGTGTGTTTATTCAAATTTTGGTAAAGTTATTGTCTTTTTTTTTTTTTTTTTTTTTTTTTTTTACTTTTTTGGCTCTTTACCCCTTATTTTTTGGTCCCCTTTCTTCTTTATTTGCTTTTTAGTCCCGTATATTTGTTTTTCCTCCCACTCTTATTTAATCTTATTATTTTAGTCCATCATTTTTGTATTTTTGTTTTTCTTCCTTTTTTTTTTTTTGGCTCTCCTTCCTTTTTTATTTGCTCGTCCCTCATTTTTGTTTTTCCTCTCACCCTTATTTAATCTTATCATTTTAATCCCTCATTTTTGTTTTTTTAATTGTTTTTCTTCCTTTTGTTTTTTAATCCCTCTTCCTTTTTTGTTTGCTTATGTAGTACCTCATTCTTGTTTATTTCCTTATTTTCATTTTGAATTTAACATTTGCTAATGCCATGCCATCCTTTCATACTCGCAACAAAATCTCATTAAGATCCAAGTGAAGCGTCCACGCGTGCTTTTTAACTAGTTTTATGATAAAAGTGTTAAATACTCGACATTATTCTAAACCGCTTGATGATCATGATCAAACTCCATTAGGTGATCATTTTTTTTCTCTTAATATCATATAATTTCTATATTATTTTACGGTTTTAACTATTCTACTAGTAGAGTGCCATATTTTCTAATACCCTACTGCTGAATTCTCCACAATTAACATAACTAATATTTAAAGCTAAAATTGGCAACCAAAGGTATTGGGCAACATTTTTTTCTCATAGCTTTTGAATGAGAATAATTAAGGTATTAATCAATATTTGTTGTTATTGTAGGCTTTTTGAAGTCCAGCGTGGCAGTTAGAAATCCTCTGAAGCAAGTGAGCGCTTCCGGTGGGAAGTTTACCTGGTAATTAAGATAGCATCACTTTAGGTCCCGTTTATTTTACTGATTCGAATTTAGAATTCGAGTTTTGTTACAGTAAAAAGCTTTCAGAAACAGTCACATCTAACTTTTTTATTACAGTAAAAAGCTCTCACATAATGTCACATCTCAACTCGAATCAGCGAACTAAACGAGTCCTTAGTTTGTTTTAGTTTTTTGGTTTGAGATGATCATGGCCGTTGATTTTTAGACTGTGATCATGATCATATATATATATATATATATATGTATATATATTCAAGAGTGATGAATGACATGATTAATATTAATGTTGCATGGGAATGGAATATATATAAATATGCATATATAGCTTTGAGAGAGATTGGCTGCGGAGGGACTTTAACGTTATAGGATTTGGACTGATCGGATGGTTGGCGCCTTCAAGTATACCGGTAATCAACGGCAAGAGTTTGACGGGACTTTTCTTTGAGAGCATTGGCGCTGAGCTTGCTCACTTCCCAACCCCTCCTGCTCTCACTTCCCAATTCTGGTTAGTAACTAACCTCATTTTTTTAACTACAAAAAAAAAAAAAAGAAGCAATTTTTAAAATTTTAAGCTTAGAAATTTAAATTCTACATCTTATAGCAAAAATAAATGCGAAGATATTGTTCGACTATGCTTAGAAAGGAATATGAAACTAACGTTGTGCTTACATGTACATGTACATATTTTTAGTGCCCGTAATATTATTCTTTATTCTTTTTTTAAAGGGATCTTCATTTTTTATCATGAATTCTCTTGTCATATGCAGTTATTATTCCTTTAAAATTGGAAAATGTGAATTAATTACCAATAATAAGGAAAGGCTAGAAGACAAAAAAACAATAATAAAAAAGGTCCCACCGAGATTTGAACTCGGGTTACTGGATTCAGAGTCCAATGTCCTGACCACTAGACCATGGGACCCTGTTTCTTCAGGTTTGTACTAACAATCTATAATATATTTACAGGCTGTGGTTGATCACTTGGCATTTGGGACTGTTTATTGTCCTCACTTTTGGGCAGATTGGATTCAAGGGAAGGACTGAAGACTACTTTTGAACCCGATCCTATTTTTATTTTATTTATTTTTTCTGTGAAGTCTATGTATAATATTCAGTTTCCCAGCTTCTTGGCCTTTCTTCTACCAACTTAATAGCAGACTCCCTTTCTTCCTTGTATCCTGGTGTACTATTTGTAACTTGTGTGTTTTAATGTGTTGGGGCGGCCAAACTAATAACACAAGAAAAGTGTGGGAGAAAAATGGAAATAAAAGAAAAGTATATACCAAAACCCAGCAAATTTCCATCTCCTCTAATTGAGATAGTTCCAAATTCACTTTAAAATGACTACTCTACTCTAGCTAACTAATAAAATGGATTAGACACTTTAAACTACAATCTTAGGCTCTGTTCATTTAACCGATTTGAGTTTTGTTATAGTAAAAAGCTCTCATAAACAGTCAAATATAACTTTTTTGCTACAGTAAAAAGCTCTCACATAAAAGGTCTGTTTAGTTCGCTGATTTGAGTTTTTAATTCGAGTTGATATATGAGAGCTTTTTACTGTAGCAAACAAATTAGATGTGACTGTTTTTTAGAGTTTTTACTGTAAAAAAACTCGAATCAGTGAAATGAACGGGACTAAAGTCATATCTCAACTCGAATAGCAAACTAAACGGACCCTTAAATTATTTTCTTGACTTGACACGTAATTTGAGATATTTCTCCCCGGTAGTACGTGGTGCTCAAGTTAATATATTGGGATCCCACTAATATTGCATATCTTCTCTAGTTGGCAAAAGAATCCGTTCAAATTGATTTTCTTCAAGCTATACATGTTTAAGAGAAAATTTGATTTGGTTAGACCATATCTGATTGGTCAAATCCCAAAATCAATTGAGGTTGGCAACAATATAGCTGGATTAAGTTAGTGCTAGAATCAAGGTTTTGTGATGCTGAACTTGCAAGAGCTGAAGAAATGCTCTAATCATGGAAGACGAAACAGCAAGTATTCTTTGCCCAAAAAAAGAAACAAAAAGCACAAATAAAAAAAAATAAAAAAACAAGACAAAGAACACAAAAATAAATTAAAAAAAAATGTGTTAAACACCATAATTAATATAATGCGACGCTCATTGTAAAATTACTTTTTATTAGTTAATGCTCAGTACTGCTGACACCCATTAAATTCGTGCAAAAAAAAAAATTTTGAAGCAAGGGAACTAAAAGTCAAGAGATGAAAGAAAAATAAATAAACATATAATTTTCAAGAAGATTTGAGGTAGAAAATCAAATGTAATAATTTATCTCATGTATAAATTCGTCCCAAGTTATAATTAGTTTTCTTCAGTGTTTGTCTCATTATTCTATTTCAGAGTACATCGATCATGTACCCGTAAAGTATAAGATATTTGAGAAGCATGATAGTAGATTAGGAGGAGTGAAAAGCTCATTACGAGTAACAATCAACATATCAAAAGAGAAACAATGAGATGAATAGTGGAAGCAACGAGGTAAAAATTGGGATTAGAACTATACACAAACAATATCTATACTTGAAAATTAGATTTTTACGTTTTTTTTAGGAGACGAATAATGGAGGCAACGAGATACAAATCGGAGTTAAAACTACGCATAAACAATATCTATACTTAAAAATTAGATTTCTACGCTTTTTTTATCTTGTTTTTGGTGATTGTTTTATATGTATGGATTATCATTATGGCCTTCAAATTCTACTGATTCAAAGAATCAAAACTATAAAAGCATCTTATTAGAACTCAATGCAAGAAACCTTCCATGTGCATCGTCAGAACGTCCATGTTTAAAAAGAATCATTAAAACTAATAAAAAAAATGACAAGACCTAAGAATTCTTACGGTACAAGACAAAGTAAGAAATAAACTATTAAAATAGAGACTTGAGATTTGTCGTCCCGATTCATCCATAAAATAATGCATTATTGATGGACACAGCTATTTGTTATTTCTCCCCATTTACTTTAAGGCCTCGTTCACTTCGCGAATTTGAGTTTTCAATTCGAGTTGAGATGTGACATTTTTTGAGAATTTTTCACTGTAGTAAAAAAAGTTAGATGTGATATTTTATAAGAATTTTTTACTGTAGAAACCTAAAACTGAAAATTCAAATCGGTAAAATGAACGAGTCCTAAGTCTTTTACGTGCTTCTTTTTTAAGGTAAAACTATTGTTTTAAGGGTTTTTCTAGGTAAAGCTATTTAACTATCCTACAAAGTTATTTATATAGTAAATAAATTGGTATGAAAATCAAACTGCCTAATAGGCCTACCAAAACCGCCTAAAAATTGAGAAGTTATGGATTCGAGATTTCACAAATTACCAAAAAAAGGGTAAAAGAGACAAATACTTTTTAAAGGCTCTGAGTTTGAATTTCTACCTCTTTTTTCTACCTCTTTATTCTTGAGACAAATAAAGAGACAAATACTTTTTAAAGGCTCTGAGTTTGAATTTCTACCTCTTTATTCTTGATTAACATCTTTTTTAATCAAATAACTATATTAGTCAAAATTTTCACATACTTGGTGGTCCCCGAGATTACTGCTATAGCCGAAACGACTAGGAAACATAAAGTGCACCATCAGATCTTTTTGTGACCAGCAAAAGCAAAAAACCTATATTAGTCAAAATGGTATTAATCAAGAGTGAACGATAAAAATATAGACTAATGTATTCTAAAAGTAAGTTCAGCGATTTAAAAAAAATGCATAAACCGTCGAAAACATGAGCTATTTACCCTAAAATTCAACCAGTTTGAATGTAAAACAAATTGGCAGGACTAGACATAATAGTTCTGTAGGTACTATGACAAAAGTAATTTACAAGAAATGGTATGTTCAAATAGATTTGAAAATAAATAAAGAATTTCAAATTAATGCAATTGTTTTGTTTGATACAGGAGTTGATCTCAATTGTATCAAAGAAGGAATTATCCAAAAATATATATTTTGAAAAAACCTAATCACAAATAATTGAGGATGGCTCATTCAATTGACGTTAAAGAAGATATTAAGCTCTTTATTAGTGCTAATAGTCACGACCACCATGATCAGTTAGCTAATCTCCAATGACGTATAAAATACATCCTCCCTTGAGAAGTATATACGCATTTCTAGGGTATACTGAAATTTAGTCAAATTATCTACGTATTTTTGTTTATTTAACCATCGAAGTTCAAGTGCCTTGGTCATGTTTCTTTTGCATAGTTATTGGTGTTCAACGGTAAAAAGCTTTCGACCAAGAGTTTGTTTGATCTGGATTTTGAGGTCTAGGATTCATATTTGGTGTTGAAAGAAATTTTACACAAACCAAAAAAATAAAAATAAAAACGGAAATAGTAGAAAATAAGTCAATATGAAAAGCATAATAAAGTATATAAGTCAATTTTTAATTATAGAAATTAATAGACCATAACTTGGCAAGTTATGGTTTATAACTAGATAAGTTATGGACAAATTTATCAAGTTATGGTTCATAGTCAGACAAGTTATGGACAAAAATCGTGAATTATGGATAATAACTTGTCAAGTTATGGTTCATAACCAGACAAATTATGAACAAAAACAGTAATTAGACCTATTTATTAACTTATGTAAACTATTGATCTATTAATTTTAATTCATCTCAAGTCTTAACATATTTATCTCTTTCTCTCAAATAAAAATTACGAATTTAATTATCTAACGAAAATGAACGATTTTTCTGTTTGCTTGGATTTTTAAAAAAAAATCTTTTTATTTCTTTTGATGCCCTCACAACTTACAAGATGTTAATGGGTTGAGCTAAAATATCAAATATATATTTTTTGAGAAAATTGTTGAACTAATTTTAAAAAATGTGAGTTTAAATTTTTATTTTTTATTTTAATTAATTAAAATTCTTTTAATTAATATAATTATTTTATTAAATATGACATATTAACCAAAAAAAATAAGAGATAAAAATTTTAATTCCTGCATTTTAAAAGTCTTTGCCTCATTTAAGCCAATCCTGCCACATTTAATTCGCTCTGCGCTGTTTGCTTTTACTGTGAATAATCGCATTCAAGGCTGTGAAGGGGTTAAAAATCTCAGTGCCGTTGGAATTGTGGTCCCCAGGACCCCAACCAAATAAAAATGGATTATTAAATTGTGAAATTGTACGTGAACCGCATGATTCAAATGTCACATATAGGATCATGCGGTTGGGGTTGGCTGATGTTGACAAATAGTAGAGCAGTTGAGCAGGGTTAATCTACGGCTGTTGTTACCTTCGCTCGTTTTGTTGTTCGTTATTGGTTGTCATCTAATAATGTTATATTAATTCCCTTCAAAATAATAATAATAATAATAATAATGTGATATGTACTTGTTATTAAATTAAAAATATACATAAGCTTAAATGTTGAATTTCTACATTATTTTCCACCTACTTTTCATTGAAAACTGAGGTACTTATTCTTCAAAACTTAGGCTGTGTTTGGAATTGATTCCGGTTTTATTTTTTACGTATTTTGAGAAAGAAAAAATAAAAATATTTTTAAAACAGCATTTAGCGCAATAAAGATTAAAAAGGAAATGAAAATGATTTTTTTGTTTAGTGTAAAACGAGAGAGAAATGAAAAATGACTTTTAGTCGTTTTTCATTTTTTGTTTTCGTTTTCTCCTCTCTCGAGCAGAGAAAAAGAGAGATATTAATGAGTTTTTTATACTGAAAATAATCTCTTGATAAAATTACCAAACGCATTTTTAAAAATGATTTCTGTCTGAGATTGACAACGTTTTCATTTTCATTTTTATACAAAAAATAAAATTATTTTAGAATGAGTTCTAAACGCGCCCTTATTGTTTTAAACCAGCTCTAGTATTTACATGAATAAACATTATAGATTGTGTTAAAACTTAAAGAATAAAAAATACATGATATATTCTCGGATTTTTGAGATTACAGTATTTCTTTGGTTTGTAGTTAACTAATTATTTGAAATTGGTACACGCAAAATTAAAATTATTAGTCTCTAATAAGAAAAAAAAAGGTGATCATACAAAATTATATAGTCTCTAATTTTTTAGATTGCCACATTATAATGTGATCTTACTAGTAACGAAGCTTCGGAATTTTTACAATAGGAGGCCTATAAAGGGAAATTAGAAGTAATTTTTTA